GTGTGTGTGTTTGTATAGTTATACAGCAGCCAGTCCCTTTTGGTGGACACCAGTCTACTTTAGACACTTTGTATTATTGGTAATATTTGGTCTCCTAGCAGTTACAACATAAATCAGGTTGTCTATCATTCTTATCTAACGATGATTCTTGGCTGTAATGTACTTTAGGTAGGTACACCTTACCTGCTCTGCAAGTCCTTGGAGCCGCGTAGTTTTTGTCTAGTTCCATTCTGATTTTTCACGACTTGTTGATGGGGACAAAGTGAAAAAAAAAAAGTTTCTAGCTTTTTTGTTGTAGTTTTTTTTTCCCTGCCCTCTTCCCCCCTTTCTTCTGGCCTGAGGGGGCTCCTCGCAGCCTGGAATAATTCAAGCCTTCCGCTCCCTGTCGTGCTTTTTGCAGCTGATCACTGAGCTGAAACTAAACGTTTTAGGAGAGGGAGGTAAGAAGAAAAAAAAAAGAGCCCTCCGAAGAAACCGTGAAATGATTAAGGAACTAAAGGACTCTACTCACCATGTGAGATCATGTCCTGTTGTAGAAAACATCACAAGATGTCTCTGGATGCAACCAAAGCCCCAAGTCAACTTAAGGGGAAATCATAACTTTCTGCTTCAACCTTCACCCACTTACATCCTACAAACAGCCCCTGATCATTTCCTTACACACTTAGTTCACTTAGTTTTATTTCCTTACTGTTGTTATTATTATTATTATTATTATTATTATTATGATAGAATTCAAAGATGTACCTTGAACCATGAATGTATCATATGAAATCCAGGGGTTATTTTTGAAAAAAAATATTTTAAATTGAGTCTATCAACCTGACTTTTCTACAAAATCCAAATAAAGGTTATTAGCTGCTCACAATTACTGGATTCAAACCTTTCCCTGTGCGTTTTCATGCATTTTTACATGTTTTATTAACATGCGCTGTGATGCATATTTTATATGCATTGGGATGGTGTTTTTTGTTTGTTTGTTTTTTTAAGAATATTGCTTTTTCTGTTCCATAATGCATCTTATGCATTATGGAACAGAAGGTGTACACAAGGTGTACTGTGTTTGTTCTGTGCAAAACCCTTCCATGTGCACATGCGTAGGAATTACATCATAAGTGGCAACCCAATGGCTGAAGAGGATTCCTGGGAACCCAGAAGTGCTGGTGGCAGAGAAGGTAATGGCCAAAGCAGGGGAATATAAGATGCATCGCACAGCACTGGAGTAGGGTACACTTGCAAGGTAACTGTGCCATAATGTGCAAGTATGCTGTGCATACTTGCACATTATGGCAAAACCCCACCCAGCACACAGCGGTTTACTACCGCTTTAAAGGAGAACTATGGGGTCAGTGTTTTTCCCCATAGTTCTCATTTTTTCTTTCTTCTTTTTTATTTTTTCCGTTGGTCCTTCCCGGTGGCCGCCAGAGGGGGGTGGGGCTCTGTTGTCCCTTAAAGAGCATCACTCTGGGCGCTAAGCCATCCCTATTTGGGATGGCCGGCATCACCATCCTGGGAGTATACATGCTATCTTTTTAACTACAGCGACTATTGGGCTTTACGTCTTGCACTTTTGTTTTTTATCTTCAGTTATTTTTGTTTTCTCTGAATGTACTTGACCCCCCATGTGATCTGTGGGGGAGGCGTGGTCTCCTTTCCTACTTGGTTCCTGGTGGAAGTGAGACATACGCTACGGGTGTTTTAAATCCTTATAAAGTGCAAGTGTTCAGCAAACCATCGTCGACTGACTATAAACCATCATTGATTGGCCGGGACTCCACGGACAGCGCGATGACGTCATAATACGTCGCCGCGCTGGATGCCGTTATAGCGCCCACGTGAGCCATCGACACCAATGTGCAGCCTTCAGGCGGCGTTCTTGGTAGTCGGTGGCGTGGAGGCGTCTGGCCAAACTGTCTCTTTGTTTGTGGGAGCAAAGACGGGACGGACCCTTAGTCTCCCTGGCGATGAATCCAGTAAGCGGGACACATCTATCCTTGGTATGTCTGACTGATTACAAACAGATAGGAGCGTTATCTCCTCTCTTTACCACATATGAAGAGCATGACTCATATGCCTCGGTGATGTTATTTTGTCCCTTCTCCCCTTATCTGTTCTTTATAGACCTTTATTACGTCCTTTGCCTTTCGCCCTCTGCTCTAAATTTGGGTCATCCGACTCTCACCCCTCTTTGGCCCTTTGGGAAGGACCAGATGGAATTTGCCGTTCGGGCGTCTGTGCTTGGGAACACACGCATATGCCTGCTTGTGCTAAACCAGTAGGTAAGACTCGACCCAATTCATCCCCCTTTAGAAAAATAACTATGATAGAAATTACATTATTATGTTTTTCTATACTATACAGATATCTCCATTTTATTCCTGATGAAGCGCAGAGTTACGCGAAACGTTGAAGTCGCTTCTCCACCTCCCAACCCTCCATTAGCAGTTACCCCTGATCCAAACAATACCATCTAGGTTTGCGGCATCATGATATAGTGGGAATTGTTCTGCCGTTATAAGTTTTTTACCTTACTAATTGATTGAGTTTCATAAGCATTGTCACTTTATCTTTCACAATGGAACTGTAATACACGGATTATTACGGTAGCCATTTCTTGGGTATTGGGCAAAACACAGCCCAGTGCACCTTGTATGAATGGGCTATAAGTTAAAGAACAGTCTACATTAGTCTTTTTCAACCAGGGTGCTTTATGGCTTCCTCAGGGGTGCCTTGAAATGTTCACACAGCATCATGACTCCATGGTGCAGGAGGCCACGGAGGGTGGGGTCCATTCACAAATGGACAGAAGTTCACCTCTGTCCAGGCCTGCTTCATCTCCTGCCCTTTGCCATGCTGCTGCAGCTGTGGCTCTTGATGTGATGCTAGGACACTGACATGAAGGGGAGACTAAGGACTCTGATGTGCAAGGGGGACTGAAAAACCTTATGTGAGGGGGGGCTCCTAAATTAAATGGGATACTCTGATGTGATAAGGGGAACCCCCCTTTTTTGTATGGGGTTTCCCCTAAAATTCACACCACACAGTCTATCTTGGATAATGATCTGGTAAGGATTTTGGAGGGACCACATGTTGTTTTTCACATTTTTACATTTTCTACATTTTAGACTAGGGTGTCTCAAGATTTTGCATACTTTTAAATGACTAAAAAGGTTGAGAAATACTGGGATATGTGGATATGTAGATCTGTCCTCTGAGCTTATTTACTCGCATAATCCCAAGATAGTATACTGCACCACTGTCCTAGAACAGGGGTCATCAATAAAATAAACAGACACATCCCAAATACTCATTTGTATTCTTCTTGCACCCAAACCCTATAATCGGAAATCCATAGATTTATATAGGTTTTCATAGCAAGAAGCACATGTATGAAGTCCAGTACGGTTATAATTATATTGTGGCATTTTGTATACAGTGCTGTTATGACTGCTATTTTTGCCCATTCAGTGCAAAGAGACATTGGGGTCTATTCACTAAGCTGCCGAGGGCAGCCGAGTGAACAACCGACCCCAAGTGAAGTGAGCCGAACACTATTCGGCTATTCACTTCAGGCTTGTACGGCTGAAATGAGCCGTAAAACGGCTTGCTTCGCATGGTTTCCGGTCTGCCGAACACGCTCAGCATGTTCGGCCGACCCGAAGTGCAGTAGGAGTTCGACTCAGCCGATCAGCTCTGTGTCAGAATAAAAAAAAAAGAAAAAGCAGTGTTTCTCTCCTGGGCGGCCGGGAGACTCCCGGAGCGCCAGGGAGAGTTTGCAGTCTGGAGATCAGTGTCCCTGGTTAGCTGGTAACCAGGGACGCTGATCTCTCTGCAAGTGGATGGAGCCAGCCGTAAGATCACGGCATTCTCCGCCCAGCTGTCAGAAGCAGGCTGTCGGCCGGCCAATGGCCAGCTGCTTGGCCAGCTTCGGCTTTCAACGCGGCTTGGCTGAGCCGCTTGGCTATGTTTGGGAGCTGTACGGGCTATTGTGAATAGCCCGTACAGCAGCCCTTCGGTTTTACTGAACCGAAGGGGTCCTGGGGCCGAAGCTAGCTGAAGGATCGGCCGAAGCTACAGCTAGATCCTTCGGCTGCTTCGTGAATAGACCCAATTGTCTACCAATAATCCCTCCCCCCAGTATAGTGTAGACAGTGTTCTGCTCTCCCTTGCCACCTCCCAGCTCTGTTGGAGCCATTGCTCTGTTGCTGTAATGGCAATGATATAGGGGAGCATGTGTCTTTTCCCTTTGACATTTGATAATGCTTGTGCCAGGGCAGCCAATTGCCAGGCCTGAAAACTATCACATGGGAAGACAGTCTACCTTGGTAATCCCTGACATCATTCAACACCAGAGCTTACTCAGAGTGGACTCCTGCATTGGGGAGTCAGCATAAGCAGAGTGGATGGGTGACTATACCTTGCTAAGGGTTGGGCTGTTAAGAGGCTCTGTCACTCTGCACTGAATGAGCAGATGACAGTGTCTCTTCAAATCTGCACATAGATGAGAAGGTGGTAGGGTAATCCAGCTGCTGTTGGTATGGCATACACATGTATAGCTGCATCAGCCAAGTATGCATGGTTTTGAACTGAGGGAAGGGAACCTCAAGGGAACAACAGTAATTATTTTGAAAATCTATACAAGGTGACTCATTCTTCCACTAAGTTCAGTTGGCCAGGAGTTGCCTGCAGGGTTGCCTGCAGAGGTAATCTACTGCTCAAGGCAACTGTTGCCTGTTCCAATAATCTGCTGAATTGAATATAGTTTATCCACCTCATGTCAACAACAGTCTCAGGGGGAATGCAGGCTGGTTCTCACTGTGACAGACTCCCTGATACCTTGACTGGATATCTCCGTCTGAAGCCTGTTCCCTGGGTGCTGAAAACTGAAGCAAGTGGATATAGCATGGGCTTACCCCAAGAATCAACCAACACTGACTTTGGAGTAGAAACATGAACTGGTTTATTGAAGAAAGCACACAGGGGGGAATTTATCAAAGCACTTGCAACAGTTTTATCCTCTTCGATATTTTTTTTTTATGTGCAAATTTGTCTTTTTATATGCACCCCTGTTTTCTTCAGAGCTTGCACTACTTTTCCAACTGCACGTGTTTTGCACCTGTTTTCTTCAGAGCCTGCACTACTTTTTCAACTGCATGTTTTTTGCACGTGTTTTGCACATGTTTTCTTCAGAGCTTGCGTTAATTTTTCAACTGCATGTTTTTTGCACCTTTTTTGCA